ATGGCTGGAGATGCGCTGATCCGAAGCCAGGAGCCAGGAGCCAGGAGCTTCTTTTGGGTCTCCCACATGGGTGCAGGGGCCCAAGGACTCGGGCCATCTTCCATTGCTTTCTCAGGCCACAGCAGAGAGCTGGACTGGAAGTGGAGCAGCTGGGACATGAATGGGTGCCCACATGGGATGCCGGCACTGCAGGTGGTGGCTTTACCTGCTATGCCACAGCTCTGGCCCCGGATTTTTTTTCTAAATGTTCTTTGTTTCTTTTTCAAGTCTTTCTGTCTAGTTTTCCTAGTCTCCTGTTCATGACTCACAGTTTTAGTCTCTTTGTTATTTTTTTTTTTAATGTTTTATTTGAAAGGCAGAGTTAGAGAGAGGCAGAGGCAGAGAGAGAGAGAGAGAGAGAGAGCAAGAGAGAGAGAGAGAAGGAGGGAGGGAGAGGGAGGGAGAAAGGTCTTCCACCCACTGGCTTACTCTCCAGATGGCCTCAACTGCCAGATCTGTGCCGATCTGAAGCCAGGAGCCAGGAGCTTCTTCCGGGTGCAGGGGCCCAAGAACCTGGGCCATCTTCTACTGCTTTCCCAGACCATAGCCAAGAGCTGGATCGGAAGTGGAGCAGCTGGGACTTGAACCGGTGCCCATATGGGATGCTGGCACTGCAGGTGGTGGCTTTACCCACTACACCGCAGCCCCTTTCATGTTACTTTAAATGAGTTAACTCTGCTTGAGCTCTGAGGTCCTTGCAGATCTGATTCTAGTTGTGTGGGTTTCTTATTTCTTTTTTGGGGTGGGGCTATGGTGTCTCACTTTTCTGTGTGTGTTGTAATTTTCTCCTGCTTATGAGAACTCTAGCTACAGGAATAATTGGGGATGTGGTCTGAGGTGTTAGCATCTGATGGGCGTCAGAGACCCAGCCCACCTTATGACCCTCAGCATGTTGTCTCCAGGTTCCAAACCTGGGGAGATGGTCTGTGGCTATGTGGAGTCGAGGTTGAGGGACATTGCATGACCACACAGCGTCAAGGTTGAGGCATAACTCGTGGCCATGTGCAGCCGAGGTTGTGGGACAGTCTGTGGCCACGCGGAGTTGAGGTTGAGGGACAGTCCATTGCCACGCGGAGTAGAGGTTGAGGGATAGTCTGTGGCCACGTGGGATCAAGGTTGAGGTTGAGGGACAATCTGTGGCCATGTGGAGCCAAGGTTGAGGGACAGTGGCAATGTGGAGCTGAGCTTAAGGGACAGTCTGTGGCCACGTGGAATTGAGGTTGAGGGACAGTTCATGGCCATGCAGAGCCAAGGTTGAAGGACAGTCCGTGCCATGCAGAGCTGAGGTTGAGAGACAGCCCATGGCCATGTGCAACCGAGATTAAGGGATGGTCCATGGCCACGTGCAGCCGAGGTTGAGGGACGATCCATGGCCAATGTGCAGCCGAGGTTGAGGGATGGTCCATGGCCACGTGGAATCAAGGTTGAGGTTGAGGGACAGTCCGTGGCCACATGCAGCCGAGGTTGAGGGACAGTCTGTGGTCATGTGGAATCAAGGTTGAGGTTGAGGGACAGTCCATGGCCATGTGGAATCAAGGTTGAGGTTGAGGGATGGTCCTTGGCCCCGTGCAGCCGAGGTTGAAGGATGATCCGTGGCCACCTGTAGCCAAGGTTGAGGGACTGGCTTTATGCTGGGCTCTCACAGCAGGAACCTGGTCTCCTGTGGTCCCGGAGGTTGGATGTCCAAGGTGGTGGCAAGGTTGACACCTCTGAGGGCTGCGATGGGGAATAAGCATGGCCTCCCTTCTGGCCACAGGGGTTTGCTGGTGATCTCGGGCCCCTGGGCCTGAGCCTCTGCCTTCATCTTCACATGGAGGTCTCCTTGGGGCGTGTCTGTGTCCATTGTCCCCCTTGTCTGGATTAGGAACCTGCCCCACTCCAGCGTGGCCTCGCCGCGGCTCATTGCACCTGCTCTCACCTCCCTTCTGAACCCAGTTGCCGTCCGGGGGCCCTGGGGTTAGAGCTTCAACAAGGGGCTCTCTGGGGACACAGTTCAGCCCACACGGCGCTTAGCCTGGGTTTTCCCGGAAAGCAGAGCGGGGGCAGGCAGACACGCATGCACGGTTTATTCCAGGACACCACCTGGGGAACTGCGTGGGATGGGGCAGGGGGAGCGGCAGTCCCGGGTGTCCTCGAGCCGTGCACATCTCATGCTGTCCTCACGGGGTGGATGGTGTGCTCCTGACCTGCTCGTTCCCAGGAGCGTGGCATTTTCTGGGCCTTCATTTATGGAGGTGGCCTGTACTCGGGCTCTCCCCTAGTCCAGGCCGCCAGGTGCAGTCTCCCCGCACCTACCCCGAGACCTCCGTGCCTGGTCACCATCCTAATCCTGCCCCTGCCTCATTCCTGCGCTCAGTGCCTCACAGGTGGAGGCGGTCACCTTGAAGTGTGCTGCTCCATATTTATTAAGCACTCTCGAATGTTAGGAAGTGATGGAGTTTCAACATCTCCAGTCTGCCAGACGCCAAAAATAGAAGAGTATTTACTTTAAAACACAAGGCAGGCGCTGGTTCTGTGGTCCCGCACAGCAAGCCACTGCCTGCGACGCTGGCATCCTATAGGAGCCCCAGTTTGAGTCCTGGCTGGCGTGTCTGGAAAGGCAGAGGAGGATGGCCCAAGGGCTTGGGCACCTGCCACCCCTGCGGGAGACCCGGATGGCGTTCCGGGATCCCAGCTTCAGCCCAGCCCATCTGGGGAGTGAGCCAGCAGAGAGAAGATTGATTTCTTCTCCACCCCCCTCCCCGGTCTTGCCATCTCTCTGTAATTCTGCCTTTCAACTAAATAAATAAATCTTTCGAAAAATAAGAGTGGGGGCCAGTGCTGTGGCACCGTGCGCTAGCCCTCTGCCTGCAGTGCCAGCATCCCATATGGGTACCAGTTCATGTTCCGGCTGTTCCTCTTCTGATCTCTGCTAATATGCCTGGGAAAGCAGTAGAAGATGGCACAAGTCCTTGGGCCCCTGCACCCATGTGGGAGACCCAGAAGGAGCTCCTGGCTCCTGGCTTCGGATTGGCGCAGCTCTGGCCATTGAGGCCATCTGAGGAGTGAACCAGTGGATGGAAGATCTTTCTCTGTCTCTCCCTCTCACTGTCTGTAACTCTACCTCTGAAATAAATAATCTTTAAAAAAATAGAATGGATTCAAGCTTATTCCTGTGGTATTTCACAAACTGTGTTCTTTTTCTGAAAAGAATGTGTTGATTTATTTTATTGAAGGGCAGAGGGAGAAAGGTCTTCCATCCACTAGTTCACTCCCCAAATGCCTGTGACAGCCAGGGTGGGGCCAGGCTGGAGCCAGGAGTCAGTCCAGGTCTCCCATGCGAGTGGCAGGCTCCCACGTACTTGAGCCGTCACTGCTGCCTCCCAGGGTGCACACCAGCAGGAAGCCGGACCTGGGCGGAGCCGGTCTCCAGCCCACACACTCTATTATGGGATGTGGGTGTCCCAAGCACTGCGTCCTGATACACTGTTGGGACAAGTGAAACGAGGTGTGGCCCTGGCTGGTGATCGCTGCCCTATCCCAGCCTGTGGGGCCGTGGGCAGTTCCCTCGGCCTGTGTCAGTGGGTGGGCCAGCGCTCTGCCTCCATGTGCACTGTCTCTGAATTGCAGATGGGGACGACAGTGACAGGTGTGACAAGGATGCAGCAGCCACGCATCTGAGTGAGTGGCAGGCTGGTGCTGGCACGTGCCAGAACTTGGTGTCCTCAGGCACCGTTCGTCTGCCTGTGGAGCAGGTGTTGACTGGGCTCTGCCGCCTGGGACTGGCTGTGCCACGTGCAGCGGGAAGTGCAGACAGCTCCTGTCTTCCAGGTGCTCACAGTCTGGTGAGCAGACGCCTCATTTTGCGTGGGAGTGGGATAAGGGATACGGCTCTAACCCCACTGCAGAGGCCGAGGGACCAGCGGGTGTCATTCAGGAAGAAAGAGGCCCGAGGGCGGGGTGGGGAGTGGTGAAAGGGCCTGGGGCAGCTTGGTGAGCTGAGGAACTCCCCTCCTGGGCAGCAGGCGACGTCAGGTCTCGTAGGCGCCAGCTCTTACCCGGAGAGAAAGCACGTGGGCTTTGCGGTCCACAGCCTGCTAGTCAGATTCCTTTGCCACCCTGCTGGGGGATCGTGTGTGCAGGTGGTTATCTTCTCAGCCCCTCTCTCTTGTGATGACGAGAGAGTAGCCCAGACAACCTCTTAAGGCCTCCTGCATTGCCAGTCTGTTGTGGTTCTGAGTGTATGTCATTAGAAAGTAAGATGAAGATATATGTAAAGGAGCGCACACGCACACACACGTGTGCACACATGCACACACAGTACACACATGCACATGTGTAACATACATGTACACACATGCATTCACACACATATACTTGTGCACGCAGGCACAGACATACATACACAATGTACATACATATGCACACGTGTGCACACACAAATACACATGCATGTGCCTACACATGAGCTGGGGTCAATGTGGTGCTCAGGTTGTGAATCTTTGTAGGCATTTTTTTAAAGATTTATTTATTCATCCATCCATCCATCCATGCATGCATCCATCCACTGGTTCACTCCCCAAATGACTGCAATGGCTGGACTGTGCTGATCCGAAACCAGGAGCCAGGAGCTTTTTCCAGGTCTCCTACATGGGTGCAGGGGCCCAAGTACTTGGGCCATCTTCTACTGCTTTCCCAGGCCACAGCAGAGAGCTGGATCAGAAGAGGAGCAGCCGGGACTTGAACCGGCACCCACATGGGATGCTGGCACTGTAGGTGGAAGCTTAGACCACTACGCCACAGTTCCAGCCCCATAGGTGTTGTCTGAACAGTAGTTCTGGTGGTGTCTGGCGTCCAGCCGCACTGTTTAGCTCCTGGCCATGAGCTGTGAGCGTCGAGTGACTGGGTGTTGGGTGAGCAGACGCTAGCAGCACGGCCGTGGTCGCGTGGCAGCTCACCCAGCCTCGATTTTCTCTCGGCAGGGGAGCTCTCGCTGGAGCAGCGCAGCCTTTCCTCGTACTCCGTGCTGAAGAAGAGCACCGTGCACAGTGCTGCACACGTGGCCTTGACCGCAGCCGCTCCAGGGTCCCCGCAGAGCGGTCCCCTCCTCGTCACAGCCTCTCCAGCTGCCTCCGCTTTTGATCCAGCCTTGCTTAACCAGGGAGTCCAGACCTGGGGCGCAGCCGACCACAGCCTCTTGGTGGCGGATGGCGTGTCCGTGACGAGTAACGAGGTGCCTGTGGATGGCGAGGACATGGATAACTTCCTGCCGGATACTCACTGGACCGCGTCCCAGATGGTTTCCCCGATGCAGTACGTCACGGCCAGCCCCCTGGGGCTGCCCAGAGAGATGCCGGCGCCCGTGCCCACGCCGTCACTACCTGTGGCTTCTTTAGAAGATGTGCCAGTGAGGTCAGCTTGGCAGAGCGCCGTGCGACCGCTGCGGACGGACGCCGGGTCTCCCGGTCACCCCACTGGGTTTTGGTCGGCTTTGCCCACCACCGAGGACACAGCCCCGACTCCTGGTGGGAGCTTCGTGCTTCCCCTTCCCGCTGACGCTGATGGTGGCTTCTCGAGCAGGACTCGGCCCGGGGTCGTGACTTCATGGGCACTGGACGTGGAGACCCTGTTCTCCAGCTCCCGGTCGTCGGCGCCTCGGCCGCTGGGGGGCGGCGTCACTCAGCAGCTGGTTCCCCTCCTGTCCGAGGGCTCACAGCTGCTAGGGGCTGTTCTGGGCACAAGGACGCACGGATGCCCTGAGGGCACCATGGCTCTGGGGCGGCCGTGGGAAGAAGCCATCTCCCCAAGGACGCCCACTACTGTGACCGTCTCACACCCAGCCCCCGCTCCCAGCAGCGCACACTCTGCTTTGCTCTCAACCCCCCTTGCATTTGAATCCTTTCCTACTCAGTCAGCCGTTGGCTCCTTTAGCCCCTTTCTCCCGGGCCACACCAGGGCGGTGTCAGCGCTGCCTGGCAATCCCACGCCGAGCCTGGTGTCATCCTTGAGCCCATACACGGGGTGTGCGTCCTGCCCCGTGGCACCTGCTCTGCAGGTTCTGCCCACGAGCCTCCCGGAGAGAGACGTGGGCTCAGGGGACGGTGCTGAGACCGTGTCCCCGGCGCGGGCGGAAGCCAGCAGTGTCCCTCCACTGAGCAGCGTGCTCGCGGACGTCTCTGAGTTTGAGGAAGAGTCTCCGGAATTTAATACGCTTTTCCCCTCCAGGCCTGTGGTGCCCCTGTCTTCTAGATCTCCGGACGTCTCGGAAACGCGCGCCAGCGTTTCAGCCGAGGTGGAGCTGAGCAGTGTGGCGGCCACGCAAGTGCGTCCCTCCCACAGCCACCTCTCCGTGCCTGTGTCACTCGATCCCAGCTTCGGCTCCCCCTTGGTCGCTGGAACCCAAACGATGCTTCCCGGAGGCACCCCTGCGCTGTTCCCGGCCCCCACCAGCGTTCTCCCCGACCTGTCCTCCTCCGTGGCGGCAGGCACTAACACGCCATGGCTTGCCACCCGAGACCCCAGCACCCTCGCCTCTTACACACTGGTTCCCTCAGCTGAGCCGGCGCTGCCGTCTGACCCGGAGCCCACCGGTGTCTTTGAGCAGGGATCTGGGAGTCATTTGGATTTCGCATCGAGGCTTTTCTCAACCCCACCACTGGAGCGCAGCTGGGGCCCTGCGTCCTCAGGACGCGCGTCTCCGTCTCCTGCGTGGAGTGACCTCTCAGCCTTCACGCCGCTGGCCTTCCCCACCTCAGCGGGAACGAGCGCGTCGTCCGGCGCTGTCCACGCGCAGTCGCCCCCGCTGCCTCTCCCTGATTCCACGCGCGTGGAGTTTTCTCAGCTCCGGCCAAGTGCAGCGCTTCCTCCGAGCACGGCCGCCCCTCCGCCCAGCCGCTCTGAGACCCCGCCGTTGTGGGTCCTCCCCACCGACTCTGGCGAGTTCGCTGAAGCCCCAACAGTGTCGCTGACAGACCCTGACGCCCAGGCTACCTCGGCCCTCACGGAAGCCACCGCCTCTGCGGAGTCTTCACTCAGCCCTCGCGAACCTGCCGTGGCCGCAGTGCCCTCCAGCTCCGAGCCCATGCTGGACGCCTCGGCTGCTGGAGCTCACTCAGCATCGCCCCTGACCGTGTTTTCTACGACCCCCGGGTCCTCGGCTCTGACGTCCCCTGCTGCCCACGTGGGCTCCCCACATGCCCACACGTCTGTCCTGTCCCCTCTCTCCAGTGCCGCTCCCACGGGCCCAGTGCTGACCACCCACGCGTTCCCATCCTTGTCATCGTCAGCATCTCTGTTTGCTCCCCAGGTGACCCCGTCACCTTTGCCGACAGCGCCTGCCCCCACGGGCCCCTCGCGCCCACCCACGGATGCGCCCACGGATGCGCCGTGGAGCCCCTCTGCCGAGCCGGGCACGTCTACCGGGAGCACGGCCGCTGCGGACGTTGTGGACGCTGGCCAGGGCAGCCAGGCTGCGGGGGAGAGCCCTCCGGAGGCCAGCGCCGCCCCTCCCCCGCCGGCTCTGCGTCCTGATACGCCAGCGCTGGTCACTGCCAAGCCGCCGTATGTGTGTGATATTACGGTTCCTGATGCCTATCTCATCACGACTGGTAAGGCTCGGCTCCCGTCGGCTCCCTGGTGGGGAGACCTTTCTGCCATGCTGGTGGAGACTGGGAGTGGGCTGGTGGAGACGCTGGGCGCTGGGCTCAGGCAGCTGCCCGCGGTCGGCCTCGCTCCTGTGCCTGCCTCCTGCACAGTTGGTGACCTCCCTACGCCTCTGTTTCCTCAACTCTTTTTTTAAAAAAATATATTTATTTGAAAGGCAGAATCACAGACACACACACACACACACACACACACACACACTGGGGGTGGGTCTTCCATCTATTGGTTCACTCCCCAGATGGCTGCAATGGCCAGGGTTGGGCCGAGCTGAAGCCAGGAGCCAGGAACTTCTTCAGGTCTCCCACATGGGTGCAGGGGCCCAAGGACTTGGGCCATTTTCCACTGCTATCCCAGGCCATAGCAGAGAGCTGGATCAGAACAGGAGCGGCTGGGACACAAGCTGGCGCCCATATGGGATGCTGGTGCTGCAAGCAGAGGCTTAGCCAACTACCCACAGTGCCGACTCCTCCTCAGCTCTTCAACAATGATAGCGATGCCCACTTCCATGGTTATTAAAGAGTTGAATGCACATAACGGCCTTAGCCCAGTGCCTGGCACCCAGGAAGAACCCACAAGATGTGTTAGCTGGTGGTCCTTAGAAGAACACATGAGGGACTGTAGCGAGCCATAGGAGTTTCGGTGGGGTCTCTGACCCAGCGGACGCGTTGCTGACGTGGCCAGCACAGAGCGCTCATGCTGACTTGGGCGAGCTGTACGAGCACGCCTGCCACCCTCCCGCTTGACTGCTCTAACCTGTCCTACGCAGGTGCGCTCTGCTCGCGTGTATTCCTGTTCCAGTCACTTGCATCCCGAAGAGAAAAGCAGCGTGACTTAAATAGCCTCCCGATTCGGTCTCCCTCCCTGGTCAGCCGCCCAGCCTGCAGCAGGGCAGGGCAGGGCCAGGGCCATGTCCAGCCGCAGTCTGTCCGAGGCTGTGTCAGTACAAGGATATCAGTCACCGGCCCACCTGATAGGGGCTCCAGGTTCTCGATAGGAGAAGGGACTTAGGGGTGCACGGCGTCTCACAGGCGTCTACCTGCAGCCTGATACTGACCAGGAGCCTGGCTTGTGCTGGTTTTGGTGGGGATGGGGTAGAGGAGGAGTGGGTGGGGTGGACGTCGAGGGAGGGCCGGGACAGGGAAGGAGATGGTGGGGGCTTGCATGTTGTCTTCCTCCATGCTGAGCGGGGTGGGCCGTGGTGGGAGCCTCTGCTCTCTGGCGTTGCCGCAGTCCTTGGAGGGCAGGAGCAGCTGGAACTTTGGTTCTCTGCGAGGCTCACGGGGTTGCAGCTGAGTGAGCCGTGGTCCTGCCCTCGCAGGAGCCCAGGACGGGAGATGAGCTGTGCCGTCGCGGTCGCCGCAGTAACGGGTGAAGGAGATTCTCCGGGAGCGACCGTGTGGGGTGGCCCGGTGTGGAGGTCCACTTTCAGGCCAGGGGAGAGCGCCTCGGCTTGGCGCGGGTTACAGTTGGGACCCGAGTGGGAACAAGATCCTGCTCTCCAGCCTGCGGGGCAGAAGCAGCTGCTGGCAGACGGTGTGTCCTGCCCTCTCACAAAATCGTTCTGGGGTAGCCGCTGGGTGGTTGCTTACAGGGAAGTCAGACTTGGGGAGCTTCGTCTCGGCTCTGTGGTGCTGGTGGTGCAGTGTTTCTGCGAGGAGCTGTAAGCATAGCACCCGTGGGTTGAACTTTCGCGCACGTCCCCTTCTGTGTGACAGGCGTGGGGGGCGAGTGGGCGCTGCTGCGGGGCTGCCCGCGTCTTGCTCTCGGCGCTCGCACGTTTGCCCCAGAGTGCGTCGGCTCCTTCGCATTTGGTCCCTTGGGAGATGGTCTGTCAGTGAGAGTCTGGAGAGGAAGCCGAGGTGACTCCTGGCCTCTGAAAGAGTCCTTGTCGGCACGGTCTGTGTCGGGCAGCTGGGTCCCGGTGGGCGCGAGGGACTCTGACCCTGACTCCCGCCCTGAAGCTGCAGCTGCAGCTGTGTGGGGAAGATCTGTAGGGCCTCTGCTTGCTAATGGTCCTTTTTCCCCACGGGCTCAGGGCTGACTCGGGGGGTCATGGGGACTGCCGAGGATGTGTTCGGGTGACCCTCGTGCCCTGGGGGCTGCTGGCTGCCCTGCTGGGGGCTTAGTCCTGCACTGTGTTCCACCTCTGCTCCCCAGGTGTAGCCGAGACCCTGGGCTTTCCTTCTCTCGCCTCACCACCTCTCCTTTGCCCTGACAGTCCACAGGGAGGTCTGGTCCCTTGGAGCCCACCTAGGCCCTGCTGAGTGGGGGCTGAGTGGAGGAGTGACTCCCGGGGGGAGGGGCTGTGGGTTTGCTCTAGTGGCCTCATGAGCTGAGGAAGCCCCCCCACCCACTTTCTGACTGTCTGAGCCACTGACTTACAGAAAGAAAGTCAAATATAACTTAAATATTTATTTTGAATTTATTTGAAAGAATTACAGAGAAAGAGGGAGAGAGAGGTTGGGGAGAGACAGGTCTGGTCATTGATTCACTCTGTAAATGGCCACAATAGTCGGTGCTGGGTCAGGCAGAGCCAGAAGCCCAGAGCTGCTTCCAGGTCTCCCACGTGGGTGCAGGGGCTCAGGCTTTGGGCCATCTTCTACTGCTTTCCCAGGTGCCTTAGCAGGGAGCTGAGTCGGAAGTAGAGCAGCTGGGTCTTAAACCTGCACCCATATGGGATACCAGTATTGTAGGTGGCTGCAAAACTGGCTGCTAAATATTTATTTTTTAATGAATAAAGAATGAAGAGTGATAGTTGTCTTCAGTTTAAAAATGAAGATCAGGAAATGGGAAACTGAAAAATATATCGAACATTGTTTTTAAAAGTTTTTATTTATTTGAAAGGGAGAGAGAGAGGGAGGTATTTCCCATCTACTGGTTCGATCTCCAAATGCCTGTAACAGCTAGGGCTGGGCCAGACCGAAGCCAGGAGCTGAGAACCCAGTGTGGGTTTCCTATGTGAGTGGCAGGAACCCAACCTCCAGAGTCAACATCCACGGCCACCTTGTGCGTGCTCCCGGGAAGCTGGAATGGAGAGTGGAGCTGGGACTCCAATCCAGGCGCTTTGGTGTGGGACGCAGGCAACCTGCGTGAGCTCTTAACTGCTGCACCAAACACCTCCCCCAGATGTTTTCTTATTCTGCAATATGGGAGGGTGACAGAAGAGGAAAGAAACAAACAATAAGGAAAAGAAAGAGGAGCTTACTGACCATTGTGGAACAGGCTTGCATTTTTTTTTTTTTTTGACAGGCAGAGTGGACAGTGAGAGAGAGAGACAGAGAGAAAGGTCTTCCTTTTCCATTGGTTCACCCCCCAGTGGCCGCCGCGACCAGCGTGCTGTGGCCGGCGCACTGTGCTGATCTGACCAGGAGCCAGGTGCTTCTCCTGGTCTCCCATGGGGTGCAGGGCCCAAGCACTTGGGCCATCCTCCACTGCACTCCTGGGCCACAGCAGAGAGCTGGACTGGAAGAGGGGCAACCGGGACAGAATCTGGCACCCCGACCGGGACTAGAACCCGGGATGCTGGCACCGCAGGCGGAGGATTAGCCTGTTGAGCTGCAGCGCTGGCCAGGCTTGCATTTTAAACACAGATTTTGAAATGAAACTTTTTAGATGTTTAAAAAAAAAAAAGTTAAGCAGAACTAGATTTTGGTATGAGTAATTTTTTATCTTCTACCCCCAAATTTTAATACATGGAAATTGTGGAGAATAAATAAATAAATCTTTAAAAAAAAACCAACAACTCTTTACCTATTGCTTTAGAAAGCTGCAGTGGGAGACCTCATTCGTTTTGCCAGGATGCTGTCATCTACTTTTGTTGAGCAACATCTTACAGCTTTTGAAGTACTGCTTTGGGGAGCTTTTAAAGCCACATGCTTTGCCGGTAGGGGCAAGGCCGAGACACCTGGCATGGGTCGGGTGAAAGATGAGAAGCAGAAGTGCCTTGTGCCCTGGTGGATCACAGCTCTGACCCCGGTCTCAGCCCAGGGCCGGAGGGTGTCTGTAGCCTGCAGAGCTGATGCTGTGCACGTTTTGCCCGATGCTTCGAGGTCTCCGAGTTAGCAGCTGCATTCTGTCCTAGCCCGGCCATGTTTCACACAGCGCACTTCGGCACCATGCTGGGGCTCCAGGCGTCCCTCACGACACTAACATGCATCTGGTGCTTGGCTTCCCTCGCAGTGCTGGCCAGGAGAGCTGTGCAGGAGTACATCATCACGTCGATCAAGGAAGTGCTGAGGCTTCGCTTCAACCGCGCTGTGGAGCTGAAGGTGAGCGGGAAGGTGGGCTCTCGAGCCCGAGGCGGCACCGCTTGTGTGATGCCCTAAACCCCTTTGCCTCCCTTGATTGACACTGAAGGACTTGGATTCAGGTTTAAGTGAGATTTCAGAATGAGCACCTAGGCAGCTTTGGGTGTTCACTGAGACAGAGGTGGGTTTCCAAATCTTTTATGCTGGTCCCCAGGCTGGTGCCCCCAACCCATAAGCTCAGAGAGGCTCGCTGGTGTAGACCAGTGGCGCTCTGAGCCAGAGCCATGGTGGCTGTGGGGCGTGTGCAGTGGGCGCTCTGAACTGAGCGCGCTGTAAGTGTAACATACACACCAGGCATCAAAGTGTAGTGAGAAGGAGGAATGGAAAAATCTCATTGATGGCTTTTTTATTGATGACGTGTTGAAAGGGTGTTTCAGATATATTGGATTAAGCAAAATGTATTTAAAAGTAAGTTCACCTGTTCTTATTTTTTGTGGCTGTTAGAAGTTTTAAAATCACATATATGGCTCCTTTCAGATTTATTTTGGACGGTGCTGCTCACAAATGCTTAGTTAACACAGCCAACACCTTGCGTTCCCTGTAACTCATTGTTACGCTGTCCCTCTTGTTTGACGCTCTTGTCATTCTGTGCTGCTTTTGAGAAGGTTGGCCAACTGTGACAGGGATAAATAAAGTGAAATTTTGATGATCTGGGAAGCACTGTCCTGTCTCTTGAAACCACTGATTTATAGATTTTTCACTTTGTTATTTTTCTATCCGACGCAGCTTGTTTGAGTTTGAAATGCCTGTTTTTATCTGCCAGGTTTATGACCTGTTCTCCGACTTCACCTTTCTGGTCACATCCGGTCCTTTTGTGTACACGGCGATATCCGTCATAAACGTCCTCACCAACAGCAAACTCGTGCGTGACCAGGCCCCGCTCATCCTGGCTGTGAGGCCGTCTTTCCTCGTGCCAGAGCCCCGGTTCCAAGTGCAGACAGGTGAGACCACAGAGCACGGTGGTTTGAAGTTGCAAGTAGGGTTCCATTCTGGTTTTTCTATCTGTTAAAAAATTGAAAGAGGATTAGAGGATTAGTTTTTGCACATTAAAAACATAAGTTTTTTTTTTTTTGTTTTTGTTTTTGTTTTTTTTTTTTTTTGAGAGGCAAAGATACAGAGAGCAAGGCAGAGACACAGAGAGAGCTTCCATGTGCTGGTTCGCTCTGCAGTTGGCTGCAGTGGCTGTGGCGGTGCCAGGCCAAAGCCGAGAGTCTGGAGCTTCTTCCAGGTCTCCTATGTGGGTCCAAGTGCAGGAGCCCGAGCCCTTGGGCCACCTTCCGCTGCTTTCCCAGGAGCAGTAGCAGGGAGTGGGTTGGGAAGTGGAGCAGCTGGGACACGAACTGGCGCTCATACAGGATGCTTTGATCCAGTACACCACGCTAAGGCCTTGCTAGGTGTGTGTTCATGTGCACACACACCCGTGTGTGCGTTGTCATCTCCCAGAAAAGCCAACAGTGACTCCCTCGTGTCGGGTTTGCCCTTTTCTTGTGGAAATTTTCAAGTGTGCGCAGAAGCAGAGCAGCTGCAGGCCCCCCTGTGCCCCTGGCTCTGGTGGAGCAGGTGTCCGTGTCTTGCCCTGGGTCCCTCACCAGTGTTATCAGGGCTCAGGCCCACTTCAGGATGCCAGATGCATTTCACCATCAGTGCTGAGCACCTGTGTTTGGGATGTTCCATCCGTCGCATCCTAGGTGTTGCTCCACGTGAGGGGCACTGCTCCTTCACACTGCAGGCGTTCTGGGGCAGGATTGGCGAACCGCATTCCCACGAGGCACCTGGCGTACTGAGCACAGCCGGGCTCACCCAGGGGCTGCTCGCTGCCCTCCCTCCCCCACCCTCTCATGGGACTTTGGTTGCCGTCCTTCCAGTTCTTCAGTTTGTGCCGCCAAACGTCGACATCGGCTTCTGCAACTTCACCCAGCAGATCGAGAGGGGCTTGGTGACAGCGCTCTTGGAAGTGAGGAGACACCACCAGGGGCCACAGAACCTCACGGTGCAGGTGAGACCGTCATGGCGTGCAGGGACAGCAGGGTGCTGAGCCCTTAAAGGGGAAGTGACTTCACCGTGGAGGAAGCCCAGTTCACCGGGGTCGGGCGGAGCTCCTTCCGCGGCATCCAGTCTGCACAGCAAGAGTGGCTGAGTGTCTGGGGGCAGTGCAGAGAAGCTGGTGAGCAGAAGAGAGATGGTGGCGCGGGAGATTCACGGATGTTCTCAGAAGGAATGGAAGCGACCCGAGCGTCCCATGGGAAGTGCCCAAGAGTCCATGGCACAGCAGGGGATGCAGGCTTCACTGTGACCGTGGAAGGGCAGCTCTGTCTGTCCAGGGGCCGGCTTTGCATCCGTTGTGACCGTGGAAGGGCAGCTCTGTCTGTCCAGGGGCCAGCTTTGCATCCGTTGTGACCGTGGAAGGGCAGCTCTGTCCAGGGGCCGGCTTTGCATCCGTTGTGACCGTGGAAGGGCAGCTCTGTCCAGGGGCCGGCTTTCCATCTGTTGCGCAGAAACTGGCAGTCGATACCCTTGATTTCCTTTTCCCTCCGTATTTGTTGCTCCATCTTCATGAAATGATTCTGCCACTCCTGGGTTCACCTTCCTCACTCCGTCTTATTTCTTCCTACTTTCCAACCCTTTTAGAGGTTCCCCGTCTGTGCAGTTTTCTCCACTGTGTCTTCCGAGTCGTCACATGTCCAGCCGTGGCCCTGGTGTGGCTCATCCCTCCGTGGGATTGATCTTCCGCCATCATTTCCCCTACTGTTTGTCGCTCCTTTTCTCACGGCGTCTTGTGACGATGCAGGATGATCATTCTCAAGCCTTTGAGGATGTGAATTGGAATTTCCATTCCCCAGTTGTCTCGGTTTTCTGTGTGGCTGTTGTTCTGGGTGTTGATCTTGGTTCCTTGGTCTTTCAGTGCTGTTGGTCCTCTATGAATGCCCGGGGGCCGTCGGGAAGAAGCAGGGCGCTGGTCTGGGTAGTGGGTGCTGCGCTTGGCTTCAGCCGGGAGTCTGTTTCCATGCCAGCCCCGTGTCCGGCTGGAGAACTCATTGGAGCCCTGGGCACGGGACAGCATGTGTGGTCAGAGGCGCGTGTGGTCAGAGGCGGGCGGGCGGAGCCCCCTGCCCACGTGTGGAGAAGGAGGGTGAGCGCTCAGCCCGTTTGTCATGGCCAAGCTGCTTCCCCTGTTCCCCTGCATCTTGGCCTCTGTGTGCCCTGGAGCGTGCCAGTTACGGCAGCCCCTGCCCACCTCCCTGCCCACGCCCAGACCCACAATGGGGCTCTCAGTGCTCCCAGCCAGGGCGTGCCCACTCCCCTGGGAGCAGTTCTTTGGGCTATTCTGGGGGAGGGTGTGGCGGCTGCCAGCACCTCCACGCTGGCCCGGGCTGTGGCCGGCAGAAAGGAAAGAGGAGGAAGGCAGTTGACTCAGCTTTTGGCACTGGGTGTTACTTAATTATACTGACCCGCACCGTGGCGCCTGGCCCGGCGCCATGGGGAGGACGGCTCTTAGCTGTGCTGTGTGCACTGCTGGTGGACGCTTGGGTCCTGGTTCCCCCAGTTCTGGTCTGTGTCCGTGTGATTCGCGCCTTGTGATGCTGGGCAGAGCGTCTGGTTTCCTCCCTTCTCATGCTGGTGCTGATTCCCCGTCATTGGGCGTTGTGAATTCAGTGGGACTCGGGGTGGGACAGAGAGCCTGAAGGGCTGCACATGCACCTGCCCAGTCCATCACGCCCATGCAAAACAGGGTCGGCAAGCCGAGGGTTGAGTCTTGCCAGAGTGAACCAGCTCAGAAAGCCGGTTGCTCTTCTTCCTTTAAAACAAAAGCCTGGTGAGGAGGGTGGGAGCTGGGCTCTGGGGACGCTGAGTGCCGTCACGCTGCTGACTTCGCTCTTTCAGATCCTGAACGTCACTGTCACTGCTTCCCGGGCGGCTCCCCGGCGGGGCCCGGTCCACATCATCTTTGGCGTCCGGGGCGCGCAGGGGTTTCTGAATGGGTCGGAGGTGAGCGAGCTGCTCAGGAACCTGAGCGTGGTGGAGTTCAGCTTCTACCTGGGCTACCCGGTGCTGCAGATCGCAGAGCGTGAGTACGGGGACGCGGCCGTGCCGGGCTTGCTGTAGAATGAATGATGCGAGGACTGTTTCTCAGAGCGGTTTTGGGCCCACGGGGACTATGGCGGGAGGAGTAAGGATTTCCCACGTGCCCCCGCCCCGCCCCAGCACACAGCCTCCCCCACGTCACTGCCCTTCCTCAGAGCCGTTACTGGCTGCCACTGGTGGACCTGTGCTGACGCCGTCCCCCGGGGTCACCGTCGGTGTCGGGGGCTCTGCGGGTGTGGACAGTTGTGGAGTGACAGTGACAGTCTCACCCCGAGCGTCCTCTTGTTTCCAGTGAAATCTGTTCCCAAGCCTAGAGTATAATCAGACTTCAGCCAGGAAGGGCCTACAGACCCTCCGTACACACCGTGCCTTGCCTTACCATTCTCTGGAGAATAAAGGGGGTGTTTTAAAAACCGCGCCAGCCCTGCAAGAGCCAGAACTGTGGGACAGAGAGCAGGCCCGTGGCTGTCAGAGGGTGGGAGCAGGGAGGTTGTTGGAGAAATAGTGGCAGAGGCAGGTGCCGGTGCTGTGGTGCAGTGGGTTAAGCTGGGGCTTGTGACACCAGCATCCTGCATGGGTGCTGGTTCAAGTCCCAGCTGCTCCACTTCTGATCCAGCTCCCTGCTATGGCCTGGGAGGACAGTGGAGGATGGCCCAAGTCCTGGGGCCCCTGCACCCACGTGGGAGACCCAGATGGTTTTCCAGGTTTGTGACTTAGCCCTGGCTCAGCCATGGAGGTTGTGGCCATTTGGGGAGTGAACCAGCAGGTGGAAGATTCTCTCTCTCACCTCCTCTCTTTCTCTCTCTCTGTGTCTCTCCCTCTTTCTCTGTCACTCTGCCTTTTAAATAAATAACTCTTAAACAAAAAGATGGCAAAGGCAGTGTGGGCCTTCCAATCCATCCTTGTCTCCTGCAGAGGTGAAAGCACTAAATGGAGACAGAATTGTTTAGCAATACACTCACATGTGAGCGTGGCCCACCCCACAGAGTGGTCCAAGGGCTGCCCACGAGTGTGAGAGCGAGAACACGAGAACTGTATGTCTAAGCATGGTCATGACGGAGAAAGGGAGAAGATGAGAGTGCCATCGCCCTCCCTCGCCACCACTTTTTTTTTTTTTTAATAAATTACTTTTTCATTCTATCTGTTCACAAACTTTTAAAAAAGGATTGATTGATTGGGGGGTATCTTCCACCCACTGTTTTACTTCCCAAATGGTCATAGCAAAGCCAGGATCTCCATTCTGGTCTCCCATATGGGTGTCAGGGGCCCAGCACTTGGGCCATCTTCTGCTGCTTTCACAGGTGCATTAGCAGGGAGCTGGATCGGAAGTGGAGCAGCCGGGACTTGACCTGGTGCTCACGTGGGATGCCAGCATCGCAGGCTAGGGGCTTAACCTGCTGCATCACAACACCAGCCCCATCCAGTTCTTCCTGTGAGGTAGGTGCCTTAATCAGATACACAAGTGGGGTGGCATCTTAGGATGAGACAGGTGCATCGTGGGTAGGTGGGCACATCAAGCTGACAGAGAGACAGGTGTTACTTTGCGGGGCACAGCGTTCCAGCTCATCTGAACTCTGGCTGTGCAAACACCGCGTCGAGATGGGGGAGATGAAGCTGCTGTGTCCTCATTATGTGGTGCTTGTGTGGTTGTGCATTTATCAGAACCCGTAAAACTGGGCCAAAAAGTAGATTTCAGTCTATAAACTTGTAAAAATAAGAATAAAGGAAAGCAAACCTTTGTTCCTGGCTGAAGCATCACATTCGCAGTGCAGGAAGGGGTTGGAGGGAGAAGGCTTGTCTCGAAAATCAGATTCCAGAGTTCAATCGGGCAAAAAAACCAAGAAATTCTTCAAAATGGAGCAGCCAAATGGCCCGATGATTCTTACTGCATTTCAGCCGTTACTGAAGTACGAAAGTAGGCGGGCACAAGATTGTTATTGACAAATAGCGACTTTCAGTTACACCCCCCACACGTGTGGCTGAAACGGTGAGTATGCTGGGTGTGAGGTGCAGGCCGGCCGTCTGCAGGGAACGCCAGGGCTGCCGGCGCCCGCCTCTGGACAAGGATGCTGAGAGGAAGACTTGGGGCAACCCCAGCCCCCAGCAGTGTGCTCAGAGGAGGACTTGGGGTGGCCCCATGGCCCCCCAGCTTTGTGCTCAGAGGAGGACTTGGGGCGACCGCATGGCACCCCAGCTGTGTGCTCAGAGGAGGACTTGGGGTGGCCCCATGGCCCCAGTGTGTTCAGAGGAGGACTTGGGGCGGCCCCATGGCCCCCAGCTGTGTGCTCAGAGGAGGACGTGGGGCGGCCCCACGGTCCCCCAGCTGTGTGCTCAGAGGAGGACTTGGGGCGGCCCCACGGCCCCCCAGCTGTGTGCTCAGTGGCTGTGCACATCCCCGTGTCCACACTAGCCTGGCCTCTGCTCTTCCTCGTGTAGAGCTCCACAGGGCAGCGCGTGGTGACCCCTGGCGTTCCCCACCGCGAGGGGACCCCGGTGCTCCCCGCCACGCCGAGCTCGCCTTTCTGACAGCTGCAGACGCGTTTCTCATGGATTTTTCTCCTTCCCTCGCTCTCTCTCCCAGCCTTCCAGTACCCACAGCTCAACTTATCCCAGCTGCTGAAGTCTTCCTGGGTCAGAACAGGTAGGTCTGCGTCATGGCCGGGAGCCACAGCGCGAGGGGACGCCTGGCACCTTCCGCTCTTCCCTAAATTCAGGGCCGAATGTGCCTTACGTTCTTGGCAGAGTGAACGAGAAAGGGTCACGTGTGGCTGTGGGAGGGGTGGCACCCGGAGGGTCGACCTCCTTTAAGTTCACGCGTCAAGGCCCGAGCCCAGTCTCACAGGAGCTCGGGACAGGAGAGGCCCAGAAGCAGGGGTCTTGTCTTTTTTCTGAAAGTATCCTTTGTTTAGTTTAGGGCGGACAAGCGTACTTAGGGTTTCGGCTTCAGAGGAGGCCTGTCTCACCTGGTGACGGTCTGACAGCTACCTGTGACCTCATCGGCGAGCCCGCATGCAGACTGCACAGGGCCTGGTGGTGCGCAGTGCGCAGTGCTCGCCATTCCCGGGGCCCCGTGTCCCGCGGTCTGCCGGCTCCCGCGGTGCCCCTGTAAAGGCCCCACGTCGTTGCGGGGGTTGTCGGCCCCATTTTCTGGGTCATCTTCCTGGTGGTTCGGAGACTTGCCCAGTCTGTCTGACGTGCTGCACGCGCCGATTGTCTGTTCAGTTAATCCTGTGGGAAGCAGATAGCCAAGACGGGCAGGCACCCCGTTCTGAGGTTGGTTTGTGAGTGCAGGCCTTAAGCTAGGAACTCGGGCTGTTTCCAGATGTTTTGAGATACGTGCAGACCAGAGGCCGGGGCTGGGTGGTTGCTCTGTGCGGCAAAGCTCGCAGCCGAGTTCCTGGGACCTGGGGCCTCCGGCCGGCGTGACACTTCGGGCTGGGGCTGGGGACAAGGCTGGAGATCACTTCTGGGCTCTGCCCGAGCCGTTCACGTGTGCTTGCCCCCTTTAAACGTCTCCCCTCGGGGCACGGGCGGTTTCTGGTGATGCTGTGTTAATCTCTCACACACCCCTGTCTCCCGCGGACCTGCTCTGGACGCTGTGTTCCCTCTCGATTCTAGTCCTCCTGGGCGTCGTGGAGAAGCAGCTCCAGAACGACGTGTTTCCGGCCGAGATGGAGCGCAAGCTGGCGCAGCTGCTCGGGGAGGTTTCCAGCCGGAGGCGCGTGTGGAGACGGGCCACCGTCGCTGCGGGGAACAGCGTGGTGCAGGTACTCCAGCTCCCGGGAGGCCCCGCCCCTCACTGCCGCCCCGGATCCTGCCCTGTGTGTGCGGAGGAGCAATGGGGCACCTTGGGGTTTCCACCGCTGCTGATTTAGCAGCAACTGGGAGTGGCCGCGCGGCAGTTTGGCTGAGGTCTAGCCCAGGGCGTGGGTTGTCCTTAGCAAGTGTTCACTAGCGGTGGACCTGGGAGTGCAGCGGCAGAACTGTGCTACCGGGCACTCGTACTGCTGCATGCTCTTGTTTTCCAAAGAGTATTTATTTTTTAAGATTTATTTATTTGAGAGTCAGAGTTAGAGGTGTCTTACTTCCACTGGTTCACTCCCCAAATGGCGGCAACAGCCAGAGCTGGGCCAATCTGGAGCCAGGAGCCAGGAGCTTCCTCCGGGTCTCCCACGCGGGTGCAGGGGCCCAAGGACTTGGGCCTTCCACTGCTTTCCCAGGCCACAGCAGAGAGCTGGATCCAGAGAGGAGCAGCCGGGACGAGAACCGGTGCCCATATGGATGCCCGCTCAGGCGGAGGCTTAGCTTGCTGCGACACAGCGCTGGCCCACTAAGTAGTATTTTAATTACGGAAATGTAGAGTGTTGTTGATAGCGTCGTAGAGGTGAGGCATTCAGCGGTTGAGACACGAAGCCATGGCAGAGAGAGGGCCATTTCCTGCCCCCGTTCAGCAGCTCATCCTCTCTGCCTCCTGCCAACCTGCCCGTTTCAGATTACCCCAGATCTTCTTTGCTTTGCTAAACTGGCAGGCGGGTTACAAAAGACAGATTTGCGTGAATGGGAAAGTGACCCACTTTTAAAATGAGGATTTTTCCCTTAGAAGCTGCTGGCTTGCAGGGCTAGGAAAATGGCAGTTCAGAAACAGGAAACCAGGGCAAAGCTCTGAGCTGTGGGGCGGGGCTGGCTGCTGGGGTGGGGAGGTGGGTGGTGCAGGGCATTAGAGACAAAGGGGGAAGGCGCTGGACGGTGAGAGGACGCAGCGCTGCCGGGAGTTGGCCTCGTCCTCCTCGGCAGGTCCTCTAGGTTTCCCTGGTGTCAGCATTGCCCTCTCTTCCCCTCCTGGGAACGTGGTTCTCAGGCTCTGAGATACTCCTGGTTCCTTTGCCAGATGCAGTGAATTTAGAGATGAAAAAAGAATGGAAATTGAGAGTGATCATTAAATAAGTGAAAACAAAGGGTGAGAATTGAAACGGATTGTAACAAGTTTGCTTTGATAGCCCCTGGCGTCAGGAGTTCAAGGTGTGGGTTGGTTTGTTCATGCACACAGAACAGCTACAGAGCACCAGGAAATAGTGCTACAGTGGAGACCCAGGCTTCTCAAAAAAGGCAGGAGTGTCGCAAACGCAGAAGTTAGGGAACCTGCCTAGGCTTGGGGTGCCATCTGACACAGCAGTTAGGGAACCTGCCCAGGCTCGGGGTGCCATCTGACACAGCAGTTAGGGAACCTGCCCAGGCTCGGGGTGCCATCTGACACAGCAGTTAGGGAACCTGCCAAGGCTCGGGGTGCCATCTGACACAGCAGTTAGGGAACCTGCCCAGGCTCGGGGTGCCATCTGACACAGCAGTTAGGGAACCTGCCCAGGCTCGGGGTGCCATCTGACACAGAAGTTAGGGAACCTGCCCAGGCTCGGGGTGCCATCTGACACAGAAGTTAGGGAAGCTGCCCCAGGCTCGGGGTGCCATCTGACACAGAAGTTAGGGAACCTGCCCAGGCTCGGGGTGCCATCTGACACAGAAGTTAGGGAACCTGCCCAGGCTTGGGGTGCCATCTGACACAGAAGTTAGGGAAGCTGCCCCAGGCTCGGGGTGCCATCTGACACAGAAGTTAGGGAACCTGCCCAGGCTCGGGGTGCCATCTGACAGGGCCCTCACAAGCCAGGCTGCGCTGCCTTCCCGCTGAGGGTGGCCAGCGGCGAAGCTGTGGACAAGGCTCTGTGTTTGGCAGTGCTTGTCATCAAGTTTAATTGTGTTCAAAACAAGCTTTTAATGTCTAGCGGTTGGGGAATACGTGACTTGGAATTTGTCATATGTTGGAATTTCAACCATTATTGTTATTTTTTTAAAGATTTAGTTTATTTATTTGAAAGAGTTACAGAGAGAGGTAGAGACAGAGAGATCTTCCATCCACTGGTTCACTCCCCAGTTGGCCGCAGTGGCCGGAGCTGTGCTGATCCGAAGCCAGGAGCCAGGAGCTTCTTCCAGGTCTCCCATGCAGGTGCAGGGGCCCACGGACCTGGGCCATCTTCTTCTGCTTTCCCAGGCCACAGCAGAGAGCAGGATTGGAAGTGGAGCAGCCAGGACTTGAACCTGCGCCCATGGGGATCCCTGCGCTGCAGGCCAGGCTTTAACCTGCTGCGCCGCAGCGCCGGCCCCACCATTATTGTTTTCAATTATTGATACAGAAAAATGCTGGAGATTTGAATTAGTGATGCAGAAAAATGCTGAAGATTTGAATTAGTGATACAGAAAAATGCTGGAAGCTGCAGAAGTGTACATGCAGTGTAACCAGAACATTAACTATAGAATTTGTGGGCAAACAAAGGGCGGCAGGAAACGTGCCAAATGTGGCCGTTTTCTTTAATTGGTTTAAATTCAGGCGATTTTCATTATTGTTTATACATTTTTACATGTGTTTTTCAAAATTTATCCAATGGGGCTTCTCCATATAGTGCACATATGATTTTAATCAGAAAATAATTTGAAAAATGCAGCTGGGGGACTGGCCCTGGGGTGCGGCAGGTGTCACAGTGTGTCACTGCCGGCATCGCCTGCATCCCATGTCAGGACACCGGCTCCAGTCCCAGCTCCCTGCTAATGCACCTGAGAAAGCAGTGGGAGATGGCCCAAGTGCCTGGGCCTCTGCCACCCGTGTGGGAGATCCTGACGGAGATCTGGGCTCCTGGTTTCCAACCTGGTCCAGCCCTGGCCATTGTGGCATTTGGGAAGTAAACTCGTGGATGGAAGATCTCTCTCTCTGTTTCTCTCTGTCACTCTGCCTTTCAATTAAGTAAATAAATACATAAATAAATCTTGGGAAAGTGAAACTGAAATGTTAGCCAAGGTGCCGACTGCACAGTCGTGTGGCTGTTTGGATTCTGGACACAAGTAGGTTTTACTGTTGGGTTTCAGGCCGGACGGACTTGTGAAGTCTTTCATCGCAGTGGGTATCACTGGCTACTCAGATGGGGATTTCTGTAGGAGGAAAGCATTCAGTGATACAAAGGTGCACGGGTAGAGTTCCGGTACATGGAGCCTGCTTGCTTTCCAGTAGCCCTGAGAATTCCATTCTGAACGCACATGGAAGTTAGACCCTGTACAGCCTCGAGTGGGGACCGGGAGCAGGTGGCAAAGGACAGGACAAACGAGCCTTTGGGTGGGATGAAGCAGGAAGAATGTTCTGGGGGGTGGAGGGTGGTGAAAGTTGGGACCTGGGCTGTTCAGGGGCTTTGGCCGTGATGTGGAGGGAGGAGTTCAGGGGGAGATCGTCGAGTTGCTGGTTTGCCCGAGTTCTCCTGTGGTGTGGGAGGAGTCTGGCACCTGTGCCTAGAGCACAGGGTGGGGCTGCAAGTCCCAACACACGGGCAGGGAAGTCGAGACCACAAGTTCACTTTGTGTGCATTTATAAGGGGCTCAGGGTTGCTTCTGAATCGTTTCTCAGGACATCAGTCTAGGGTTTTGCTGGTGTCTAAATGGTTGGGACGTTCTCAAGAGACATAACAACAAAATAAGATGCTGTCTTGAGAAACGCTCTGATCCAACAAGTCTTCTGGATTCTGAAGTACTAACGTGAGAGGGCTTCCCTGTGACACCAGAGAGAGAAGTTCTGCAATGAGTCTGTTTGTTTAGGGTGCCCCTGCGGCACACATGGTCGTGTCACACTGGGCAGCACGAGGAGGAGTCAGGTGCTGGGTAGAGGTAGGGGTGCCGCTACCATCCCCCGATGCGCTCCAGGCCGAGGACTTACCCGGCCCGCGGGTCAGCGGAGCAGAGATGAGAGGATGGCTGTAGGCCTCCTGGTCCCAGCCCCATATTCTGTGGTCTGCTTGTCCACGTGCAGCAGGCACAGAGGGCCTGTCGTTGTAACTGTCTGTGTTCCTAGATGACTCTGTGGTCCCGAACGGGGTTGGGAGCCTGGCCTGAGGGCTGGGACAAATCCCGCGCAGCCCAGGCAGGAGGGGGGTGCCCCGGGGAGGGGTGTCTCAGTGCCGTGGCGCGTTGTCTTCCAGGTGGTCAACGTGTCCCGGCTGGAGGGGGACGACGACCCTGTGCAGCTCATCTACTTCGTGGAGGACCAGGATGGAGAGAGGCTCAGTGCCGTCAGGTCTTCAGACCTCATTAACAAGATCGATCTGCAGAGAGCAGCCATCATCTTGGGTTACCGAATTCAAGGCGCCATTGCCCAGCGTGAGTGTGCGATGCTGGCGTCCTGTGCGTGAGCTCTGAGTGGAAAGCGGTGTGACGGGTGTGGAGGGACACGTGTGAAGCCCTTGTCATGGAGTGGAGTGGCACTTCCTGTAAGATGCCCGTCGTTCAGACCCGTTGTTCCTTGGATTTCAGTTGCTCGTAGATGCGGCTTTTGCCTGTTTTTCCCACCCAGCGTTTTGTGTCCGTGGTGTTGGTACCTTACTTGGGGTTTGAGACCTCACCCCTACTCCTGGACGTTTCTGTTTTTAGCCTGCGTGTATTTATTCCAGAATCTCCCATGTCGCACTCAGTGAGTCACACAGGAAGCCGGGAGGTACACTCTGGTTTGTTGGCTTCCCCCGGGGTCTTTGGCACAAAGAAGCCCTTGATCCTTACCCGTAGCAGCCCTGTTTCCCTCCCAGCCTGTCGGCTCACTGCTCCACCATTTAGAAAAAGGTATTTGATGGTTCTTTGTTATTGTTGGAAGGCCCCGGCCCCTGCCCTCTGCCAGGGACTGGTCTCGGTGCCTTTTTTTTTTTCCAACTTGCAGATTTGGGGAAATGTATTTAAAATCAAGGAAAAGGAAGGGCATGGGCGAGTATGTTTCTCTAAATAGACCTTTATGAATCAGAGGTTTTAACGGGGGTGTTTTCTCCTTTCTGAAGAGCCTTCCTTGTAAGAGCACAGTGACACTCGCTCCCAGCCACGCAGGGATAAACAAGTGTTGGGAAGAAATCCAGCATCTGGCATTAAAAACTCTTTGCAAAAAGAGAGATCTATGGGAGACGGGGTAGTTTGAAAAAGCGAGCCGAGCAGTGGCGTTGAAGCCGTCCTCGGCAGAGGAAGGGGCCCTCGTCCCTGAGACACACAGGGTGCGGACGATGGGTGGCGCTCTCCATCGAGTGGGAGACAGCGGCAGCGTGGGAGCAGACTCCCTCTGCAGCTCCTGTCGCTGTTTGGAGAGTGGGCGCGCACCAGCGCAGGGGAGGAAGCCACTCCCGCGCGTGCTGACGCCTCCCCCTGGAGTGACGTTCTGACTGCATTCACCCTGAGCACTCGACATTTCAACAAGGTCGATTGCAACAGTATCTGGGTACCTTCACACCCCCTCCCTCCTGGTCCCTCCCCCTCTCTTTGCTCAGCTGCACACTTGCACACTGGAAACCACACGGGCAACAATCCTGGGGCTCCGGGGTTGGTGGTAGATGGGAGCCCCAGCAGCACCAGGGCCAGTCCCAGGCCTTGGGGACCCCAGAGATCGGTCTGTCTCGGCTGGGCTGTCCTTGGTTAGAGTGCAGAAGAGATTGTACATTTCTCTCAGCTCCTCGGTTTGATGCTGTCACTGTGTCTATCCTGTCAGTTTTTATGCAAAATTAGCTATGTGTATAAACTATGTTCAGAGCAAAGTTAAAAATACCAGATTTTTTTTTTTTTTTAACATTTTGCTACCTTTCCCCACGTCTCAGGAATCTGTGCTCGAATTTGGGCCTTTTCCATAGTGCGTTTGATTCCGAATGCGTAATCCCTGTTTTGTCACACCCTCGGGGTTCTCAACCCAAATAAAAACCCGCACCAAGAAGCTTTGTTGGTGTTCCCTCTTTGAGCAGGTGCATTTGATCCCACGGCAGGTAATGCCCCTCACAGGGTGTGAGAGAGCTTAACTCTTCAGCCCTGCCCGGGAGTGCGATTACTGGAGTGAGATTACAAGACGTGTCATGAGCAGAGGAGCGGTGTGTCAGGGTGATGCGATGCATCTCCATAGTAAGAGGCATTTTAAATGCATAAGACGTGCATTGTGCCATTTGCAAAGCAAAGATAACAAAAGAGTTTAGACCAGGGAGAGATGAGTTCTTCTGAAGTGGCCTTCAAGGGTGAGGAGGTGGGCAGAGGGGAGAGGACATCTGGCTTCGTGGAGCTCCTGACCAGGCCCTGAGCGTGAGAAGCGTTGAGCCGTGTAGGGCGAGCACAGAGCACACAGGCAGCAGGGGTGGCAGAGCGCTCAGGACGACCTTGCCAAGCCCGGGGAGGTGAGGACCGAGGCAGGTGGGGAGGGCCGCCCGTAGCGTGGGGCCTGGCGGGTTTGCTGCAATGCAGCCTGGGAATCACAGCAAGCAGCTCAAGTACAGCACCTGAATCCAGGGTCGCACTGCGGGTCGAGGGAGGCAGCCAGGAGAGCAAGTGAAGACTGAGAGCTGTTTCCAAAGCCACAGTGGAGCCTCGTCGGGAAAAACGTGAAGCTCATCTTTATTGTTGCCGTTGTGCTGAAATACATACAACGGACATTCCCGTCTCAGCCGTTAAATTGTCCGGTTCGGTGGCGTTCGGTGGATTCACAGCGCCGACAGTCTCACGCTGTCTGTTCCCAGATCTTTCTCATTTCTCAAACAGAAGCCCCATTCAGCAGCACTCCCCGTCCCCCGTGCCCCTGGCCCCGGCCGCCACGGCTCTACTGTCTGTCTCTATGGATCTGCCTGTTCTGGGGACCGCCTGTGAGCGGCCCATACACCATTTGTTCTTTTGTGTCTGGCCCCTTTCACTTAGCGTGATGTCTCTCCTCCCGGAGTGGCGCCTGTCGGAGCCCTCCCCCCGCCCATGGCAGCGGAGGGATTTTCCATCGTGCGGGCACACCGCGTTTTGTCTCTCCTGTCACCTGTTGATGGATGCCTGGGTGGTTTCGGTCTTCTGGCTGTGCGGCTGTTGCTGCCAGGAGTGCTGACGTCTGTGTGCCCTGCTGACGGGGAACAGCCCGGAGCGGTTGTGCTCGTGCTGTGTCTCGGCATCCGCTTCCCTTCGATGACGGCACTGGTACAGTAAAACTTACTGAGCGACGCGTTCACTTGGTAACTTTGCCTTCCCCCAACTCCAAGGGACTTGGTCCGCTTGTCTGATCTTGCGTCCCCTCTTTAGAACTGTGTCTGGCACACTCGATCCTTGGGTGTGTTTGTGGGGTAACCAGAGAAAGTTTGAGTCCTGAGGGGCAGGGGACAGGCTTCTTCCCACGAAGCACCCGACTGGAACCGGCGCCCTCCTGAGATCTGGGGGCCTTGCTGTGCTGCCCGCCCCGGTCGTGACTGTTCCAGAGGCGCAGCTGCCTTTCCCTTCGCTTCTAAGACAGCCACGGGGTACGAAGCGTCGGGTATGGGGCGCCCTGCAGTGAGAATTTAGGGGCAAGACAGTAAGCAGACTGGGACCAGTCCAGCAGGCGTGGATTCAGCCGCGTGTCTTTGGGCCGGCCGTGTGTCACTGTGGTCCCTCATGTCCACGTCTACAGGTCCACGTTGTGTGTGTTTGCTCGCTCACGTTTCCTGTAGTCATGAGGGGACAGCCTGGAGAGCCGAGTCTTGCCGAGGAAGGCACGAGTTACTAACAGGCCTTCATCCCCACCTGCAGCTGTGGACAGGGTGAAGAGGCCGTCGGCGGAGTCGCAGAGCAACAACCTGTGGGTCATTGTGGGCGTGGTCATCCCAGTGCTGGTGGTCATGGTGATCGTCACCATCCTCTACTGGAAACTCTGCCGCACGGACAAGCTGGACTTCCAGCCCGACACCGTCGCCAACATCCAGCAGCGGCAGAAGGTGAGGACCGGCCCCAGCACTGGCGCAGCACCCGGGCGAGCGGGCGTGGGAGGGGTGCGGCTGCTGATGCTGAGAGATGGGGGGGGGATTTCCTGAGGCCTGGGGCGGGGTCGCCGGTGTCCCCCAGCATGTGTTCTGAGCTCTGCTGGGGGCTTAGTCCAGGGAGGGCCAGCCGGGAGGTGGCCAGAGGCTTTCAGAGAGCAGGGGCCGAGGGAGGCTGTCCCCTCCCGTGCTCTGTCTGGCCTCTGACACGCACAGCTCTGTCGGGTCACTCCCTCAAGTTGTCTCCCCACTTACCCACTTGGGCAAGACCACCTTGTCATTAAAAACCATGGTCCACGCCTTGGACATCTTGATGGAAGATAGTGAATGGACCGTGATTGCCAGTCTTTGTCTTTGAGTCGGAGCGCTGAGGGCTCGTGGGCGGGTTTGTAGGTGACGAGCACTTCCGGTGCGGCTCCCTGAGAGCAGAGTGCTGCAGAACTCCAGGCGTCTCTGTTGGCTCCTCCGCCCCCGCCGCACTCTGCAGCCTGGGGTTGCGCCTGCACCTCCTTTGACACCCACTTTTTTTTTTTTTTTTTTAGCAACTCGTTCTCTTCATGTGTCTTTCCAAAGCATTCAACTCAGTTTTCTTTCTTTCTTTTTTTTTTTTTTAATCAAAACAGCAATTCTCTTTTTGCACGTACGTTCCAACGGTTTCTGGAATAGTTGACCGGCACACGGGGTTCCCGAGCTCAGAAGTTGATTTCTGGCCGGCATCTGGCCTGCCCGGTGTGAGCAACGCCTTGCCCATGTCCTAGAGAAAGCGCCCACTGCAGACACTTAGCTCAGGGTGTGGCCCCAGGGTGGACGCAGCAGTCAGCCTGCTGTGTTTGTGAGCGTGCACTCTGTGGGCCTGCGAAGGCTTGAGAAGCCCAAGCAAGCAAAAGGCAAAAGAAAACCACTTCGTATATATGGGAGAAAAAAGGCAAAAGACCAAGGAGTAAGGATTACCCTAGGAACCTGTAATTTCATTCTGGTTGTCCTGGTAGAACATCCTGTGTTTGACAAACCTGCTGCTAAATGAACAAGTTCTTAAAAATGTGTCTCCTGTGAAAGGATTATTGTTTCTTCTTATGGATTAACCAAACAATACAAAATCTTGATTAAATTGCAACCTTATGGCTACCAGGTATATGATAGACACATTTTATGCATTAATGTTATATTTATTATCCATCTGCATTTATTATTTACGTAGTTGCTAGGTGGTTTCATTGTTGTTGTTTTATACTAATGAATGGCATGGAAAAACACCCTGGCAGAGAGGACTTGACTCGCTGAATGATTCATAGTGTAAATTTCATGGTAATAAGATCAGCAGTTGTTTGGGGAGTGATTTCGTTCTGGTGAGAGTGTGGCTCCCGTGAGATCTAACTGTGGAGATGGCTCTGGATTGAGGATTTTTGCGGTCTGCATTTCCCAACAGAAGCACATCCATTATCAGTCACTCCAGTAAACTTCCAAGGGTGGGTGGAAAACAGGATGTTCCCCGAGCCGTCTCCTCTCATGGTCACTTCCAAGATGGCTTCGCACCGTGGCCCAGTGAGGCACGAGCAGCCTCCGGCCTTGCGAGCTCCCGTCGCCGCCCGCCCGTGTGTTCAGGGTGTGTCCTGGCAGAGCCTTCGGCCAGTGGATTCTGTGGGGGAACAGCTGGCTCCTGACAGTGCCAGATGGGGCCTGGGAGGACGTTGCCAGTGTTCCCCAGGCCCCGTCTTGCTTTGAGGGGGCCATGGTCCACCGTGTAGCTCTGGCCGTGTGTTGGGGACAGCAAAACGATGCTCTTCCTTGAGTTTAAAAACTGACCTGCCTGTCTTCCCTGGTGGCCTGGCGAGAGCGAGGGCCACCAGCCGGGCGCTGCCGCTGCTCCGTCTCCTCCTCGTGTGGCTCTGTCTTCGCCCTGCCCTGCTGGTCCTGCCCGTGGCGCCGCCTCACCAGCAGTCTCCCAGGTCCGTCAGCAAATCCCAGAGCTGAGGACATCTGGAAAGGATAAATCTGTGGGCCCCAAACCAGCCCCCCGCCCCCTCTTCAGATGGTCTAGGAGTACATGAGGTCAAACATGGCCCCAGGAGAGCGCCTTCTGTCGCGCTTTGAGGCAGGGCCTGTCTTCCTAGAATAGACAAGACATCTTATAGATAATAGACAAGACTTCCTAGAATAGACAAGAGCCCGCATTTTTGTCTGAATTCTCTCAACTGGGGTCCAAAGTCATCGCTTGTCGCGTTACCTAAGCAGCTCCAGTCCGGGTCCTCTTCATGAATGGCAGTGGCTGGGGGCCCCGGCCCACGGGGCAGTGGAAAGGCTGGCACCGCGGGCAGCCGGAGGGAGCCGCCGCAGGCCCTGGACCTTCAGTCTCCAAACACCGAGCTTTTGCTCTGAGGCAGGCGGCCAGGCCCAGTCACCTCCGCCCCCGAGGGCTCTCGCCAGGGACAGGATGGGTCCTCCACACGCTGGCCGGGCAGCTATGTCATGGGAACTTGGAGAGGGTGGGTGCCTGCACCCTCTGAGAACAGGTGGGAAGGTGGGGGAGATGGCACCGACCGGTCCCACGGTGACGGTGAGGAGCCCAGGAAGGGAGGAGAGGCACAGCCAACACGCAGGCGGCAGAGGGCCGGGCTCTGGGAGGCTGTCAGGCCACGAAAGGGACGGGAAGTTTCGTTGTAGGCAATGCGGTAGGCAGCCATCAGAGGGTTTCAGGAGGGAGCAGAGCACTTGGAGACATTCCATCTGCGGGGACCGCTTGGGGAGCCGTGTGGACGGGGCAGTGGACAGGAGCTCCGGGAGCATGTCCTCCATCCTGGCCAAGTCCTGCTCACCCCTGAGGTCGCTGTCTGACCCCACAAGGATCCCCCTGAAGTCCAGTGTAGGAGCACAGCCACTGTGGCCCGGAGCGGGCAGCACCGGGGAGTCCTGCCGGGGTCCCCGTGCCGTGAGTGCCCAAGACACTCATGCTCCGTGCGCGATTGCTCGTTTTCATTCAGGCGCCTTTGGAATTTGCTCAGCGGCTTCCGTGGTCATCTTCCCTGCTCCTTCACGGGGGCTCAGGCCGGCCCCGGGGCTGGGGACTTTGCCTCTGTTATATTTACGCTTTGAAACGCGTGGGGCGTCTGTCCCGTGGCTTAGCTGAGCTCCGCCAGGCCTCCGGTGCGGTGGGGCACAGGCAGGGCAGCCTGTCCCCTCCATGCTGCATTAAAGGAGGCCTTGCGCAGCAGCCGCCCCGTTCAGAAATCAGCGGGTGCCTGACACGAGTCCTGGAGGCTCGGGTTCATCTCGCGCCTCTTCTGTGGAGTGCGGATGGAGACCGCTCCTGCGCGTGGACACCACAGATGCTGTGCCGACCGGACTCGGCTCTGGATTCTTCTGAAAAGAATTGGGCCAACTCCGAAATGTGGTCTGGAGCGTAGCAATGCTGCTACGGGGCAGGGATGCAGGGGCTCCCTCTGAGTCTCCCGCCGTCTGTAGCTGGCTTTTGTGCCGCCCCTGAGTGCCGCTGAGTAGCCCACTGCTGTTGCTAGGAAGGTGGTGACTCACCTCGCCTGTAGGTGGCAGGATCCAGCTTGATGTATTTAAAGATGTTAGGAAACAGATGGACAGCAAGTCAGCAGGACTTACATTTCATTTATTACATACACGCTTTTCACGCCTTTTAAGATTTATTTGTTTATTTGAAAGGCAGAGTGGCAGATTTTCCATCTGCTGGTTTACTCCCCAAATGGCTGCAGCAGGCTCCCGCCGCTGAAGCCCGGAGCCTGCAACTCCATCTGGGTCTCCCTCGCAGGTGGCGGGAACTGAAGCACTCGCGCCATCACCCGCTGCTTCTCAGGTGCGATGAGCAGGGAGGAGGCCTGGAAGTGGAGCAGTGGGGCCTCGAACCAGTGCCCACATGGGACGTGGCTGTGGCTTAACCCCTGGCACCACAGCACCGGCCCCCACATGCCCTGTCCTTGGTTCCGCACACACCGTGTGTCACACCCTGGGCTGACGTACAATCTGCCGGGCCCCGGTTCGTTTCCATGGCTGTGTGCGATGCTTCTGCCGCCCGTCCGGCCCTGCAGCTGTAATGATGCCGTCCTCGTCGTTCGCCTGGTGCTGTGGCTTCGGTGCAGTGTGCTCACCTGAGCTTTTCTGCCGCTTGCTGGGTGAGGCCTGGGGGTTTGCCAGGGCCCGGACTGGCTGTGCAGACGGCTCTCCAGGGACGGCTGCCGAGCACCTCGGGGCCCTTTGCTTGGAGGACGCAGTCTGCAGCTTCTCCTTCAGCTCGTGCGAGTCACCCCCTTGCAGACTGCACCGGCTACACCACAGGAGGATTTCACCACCTTTGTTGAGTGATGGTGGTGATGGCTGAATGACTGTTGGTTAAATCTCTTTTTAAAAAATTTTTTAAAAAATTTATTTATTTTACAGTAGAGTTAGAGACAGACACAAAGGTCTTCCTTCCGTTGGTTCACTCCCCAAATGGCCGCTACGGCCGGCATGCTGTGGCTGGCCGATCCTAAGCCAGGAGCCAGGTGCTTCCTCCTGGTCTCCCATGCGGGTGCAGGGCCCAAGCACCTGGGCCATCCTCCACTGCCTTCCTGGGCCACAGCAGAGAGCTGGACTGGAAGAGAAGCAGCCGGGACTAGAATCCGGCGCCCATATGGGATGCCAGCACTGCAGGCAGAGGATTAACCAAATGAGCCATGGCGCCGGCCCCTGGTTGAATCTCTTACTCTCACTTGCAGATGTTTTGTTCATGGAGCTAAAATGAGGTGCAACTGAGGTTACCAACAAGCTTAGACACTGGCGGTTGCTGGTGTTAGGGTTTTTAGTATCAGCTGTGAATAATATGTGAAATCTCACTTTTCTCAGCTATCTTAAAGAGGCTTGACCAATAGGTACTTGAGAGTTATATAAGAAGATTTATAATTTAAGGTGAAATTAATATTTATTTCATAGATTTTGATATAAAATTAGCATCTGAG